CAGCAACAGGTGCTTGCTCTCAGAATATACATAAGTCAGTGTGGGCAGTGCTGTTGGATGAGAATTTTCAGTTAAAAAAGAGCATATATGCCGAAGGATGGGGGCCTATTGGGTGGATGGCCCCTATGCTTCGGCATATATATTTTATAATATTTTTTGCACATTTCATGTGTGCCCACCATTAGAAGTTGGTGGATGCAGGGGCATATTTACCACAAGGCAAACAAGGCGCTCCCGGAAGAAGGGATGAAAGAAAGGCCACGCATGCCATGGGAACCTGGTGGGATCCGAGTGAAGCTGCAGCTGCTTAATGGTGTAGGTAGAGCCTGACTCCCATTCCCGGGGATGTCTGGAGCCGTGAAGATGAGCTTCTTTTTCTCTATTGCTGGGGGGGTAGTGGAAGGCTCTCCCAGGTGGGGGGCAGGGGTGTTGTTGGTCAGTGTCAGCAATGTCAGGCTCTCTCTGCTGGAGGGGGAAGTGGGGGTGGTGATGGTTGGTGTCAGTGGGGACAGACGATTTTTGTGTTGCCTAGGGCACTATTCCTACCACTGAAATGAACAGTGGGGTATTATTCCTGCCACTGACTCCAATGATGGGGCACAATTCCTACCACTGATACTAATGATGGGGCACTATTCCTACCACTGATACTAATAATGGGGGGCACTATTCCTACCACTGATACTAATGATGGGACACTATTCCTCACACTGATACCAATGATGGGACACTATTTTTCCAACTGATACCAACGATGGAGCACTATTCCTCCCACTGATACCAATGATGAAGCACAATTCCTCCCACTGATACCAATGATGGGACACTATTCCTCCCACTGATACCAATGATGTGGCAGTATTCCTCCCACTGATACCAATGATGGGACACTATTCCTCACACTGACACCAATGATGGGGTATTATTCCTCCAACTAATACCAGTGATGGGGCACTATTCTTCCAACTGATACCAATGATGGGGTACTATTCCTCCCACTGTTACCAATGATGGGGCACTATTCCTTTCACGAATACCAATGATGGGACACTATTCCTCACACTGTTACCAATGATGTGGCATTAATCCTCCCACTGATACCAATGATGGGGCATTATTCCTTCCACTAATACCAATGATGGGACACTATTCCTCACACAGATACCAATGATGGAGCATTATTCCTCTCAATGACACCAACGATGGGGCACTATTCTTCCCACTGACACCAATGATGGGGCATTGTTCACTCCCACCAATGCCAGGACATTTTCTACTCCCACTGGACACAGTCCGACCCCCTAAAGTCTGAAGGATAGTAAACTGGCCCTTTGATTAGAAAGTTTGACCCCTGATATATAATATTATATATTTATATATATAATATGTGATATATTATCTATAGTTTGTAGATGCTATAACTTTCACACAAAGCAATCAATATGCACATTGTTTTGTTTATAGCGCAAAAAATAAAAAGCGCACAGGTGATCAAATACACCAAAAGAAAGCTCTATATGTGTGAAAGAAAGGACATTTTTGTACAGCATTGCATGACCACGCAGTTGTCAGTTCAACTAGTGCAACGCTGTAAAGCAAAAAATGGCGTAAATTGCAGTATCTATACCATAGTTTGTAGATGCTATAACTTTCACACAAAGCAATCAATATACACTTATTGGGATTTTTTTTAACCAAAAACAAGTAGCAGAATACATTTTGGCCTAAATTTATGACTAACTTTGAGTTTACTATATATTTTTTATAGCTGAAAGTAAAAAATATTGTTTTTTTTTTTCAATTTTCGGTATTTTTTTGTTTATAGCGCAAAAACTGAAAAGCACACAGGTGATGAAATACCACCAAAAGAAAGCTCTATTTGTGTGAAAAAAAGACCTAAATTTCATTTGGGTACAGCATTGCATAACCGCCCAATTACCAGTTGAAATAGTGCAGCGCTGAATAGTAAAAAAAAGGCCTGGTCAGGAAGTGGGGTAAATCCTCAGGAGGGCAAGTGGTTAAAGAAAGTCTGTTCATTAAATAAAACATATAAACAGCATAGAGTTAGGACAGTGGGGATCGAAAGTTTGGGCACCCCAGCTAAAAATTTGTATTAATGTGCATAAAGAAGCCAAGGAAAGATGGAAAAATCTCCAAAAGGCATCAAATTACAGATTAGACATTCTTATAATATGTCAACAAAAGTTAGATTTTATTTCCATCATTTACACTTTCAAAATAACAGAAAACAAAAAAATGGCGTCTGCAAAAGTTTGGGCACCCTGAAGAGTTAATATCTTGTACTGCCCCCTTTGGCAAGTATCACAGCTTGTAAACGCTTTTTGTAGCCAGCCAAGAGTCTTTCAATTCTTGTTTGAGGTATCTTTGCCCATTCTTCCTTACAAAAGTCTTCCAGTTCTTTGAGATTTCTGGGCTGTCTGTCACGCACTGCTCTTTTAAGGTCTATCCATAGATTTTCAATTATGTTGAGGTCAGGAGATTGTGAAGGCCATGGCAAAACCTTCAGTTTACGCCTCTTGATGTAATACCCCGTGGATTTCAAGGTGTGTTTAGGATCATTATCCATTTGTAGAAGCCATCCTCTCTTTAACTTTAGCTTTTTCACAGATGGCATCAAGTTACCATCCAAAATTTGCTGACATTTTATTGAATCCATTTTTCCTTCTACTCGTGAGATGTTCCCTGTGCCACTGGCTGCAAACACACAACCCCAAAGCATGATTGATCCAACCCCATGCTTAACAGTTGGACAGAGGTTCTTTTCATTAAATTCTGTGCCCCTTCTTCTCCAAACGTACCTTTGCTCATTCCGGCCAAAAAGTTCAATTTTAACCTCATCGGTCCACAGAACTTGTTTCCAAAATGCATCAGGCTTGTCTATATGTTCATTTCCAAAGTTCAAACGATGATTTTTGTGGTGTGGACATAGAAGAGGTTTTCTTCTGATGACTCTTCCATGAAGACCATATTTGTACAAGTATATCTTTATAGTGGAATAGTGTACCACAACTCCAGTGTCTGCCAGATCTTTCTGGAGGGATCGTGCAGTCAAACGTGGGTTTTGAATTGTTTTTTTCACAATCCTGCGAGCTGTTCTGTCTGATATTTTTCTTGGTCTTCCAGATGTTGCTTTAACTTCCACTGTTCCTGATGACTGCCATTTCCTAATTACATTCCGAATGGAGGATATTGACATCTGAAAACGCTTTGCTATCTTCTTATAGCCTTCTCCCGCTTTGTGAGCATCAACTATTTTCAGTTTCAGTTTTCTAGACAACTGGTTAGAAGAACCCATGGTGCTGATTGTTGGGGCAAGGTCAGATGAGTCTGGGCATTTAAAACCTTTGAGATTGACATCACCTGGTCTTCCCAGACGATGATTGAGAACAATCCATGACACTGTCAGTTCTCAGCTTTGCAAAGGGGGCAGTGCATGCTATAAATTCTGCAGGGTGCCCAAACTTTTGCAGACGCCATTTTTTTGTTTTCTGTTATTTTGAAAGTGTAAATGATGGAAATAAAATCTAACTTTTGTTGACATATTATAAGAATGTCTAATCTGTAATTTGATGCTTTTTGGAGATTTTTCCATCTTTCCTTGGCTTCTTTATGCACATTAATACAAATTTTTAGCTGGGGTGCCCAAACTTTCGATCCCCACTGTATATATTGCCCTATATAGTGTTATGGTGGCCATACACTAGACGAAAAAATCATTTGAATATCCATCATTTAGACATAAAAACAGAGAAAAGTGACGGCATAAAAAGACCGAGTGGTCCATCGAGTCTGCCCGTCATTTTTTAATCAAAAAAATCGAAGGTTGGAAAAAGTCTGCCAAATAGACGATAATTAGAAGGTTAATGTGTTTCTCACCTGTTAAAAACTGTTCACCTGTCAAACTGTTTGTACTGCGCATATTTGACAAAATGAATGAAAAACTAATCATCTATGTCCACTGAACAAATTATCATTCAGAAAGTCATTACGTAATGATGTATCATTTTCTGTTACGACCGTGTGTTTGTTATTCGAAAACGAGTTTGAAAGATTTTTCGACTAGTGTAAGGCTAGTATTAGGAGTGTCAGGTTCAGGAACTTCGATTTTCTTTCTTGGTTTAAAAACATATCTGGGGGCTAATCAACTTCAGTGTAAACTGCCTATAGTGTATCTGTGAAAGAGACAAATACATTGTAAGGGACAGCTACAAGTTGCAATAATGTTGTGCACCTTCTCAAATTGATTGAACTTATTGGTGATAAAATATATATATATACACACACACACACACACACACACACACACTATATTGCCAAAAGTATTGGAATGCCTGCCTTTACACATACATGAACTTTAATGGCATCCCAGTCTTAGCTTGTAGGGTTCAATATTGAGTTGGCCCACCCTTTGCAGCTATAACAGCTTCAACTCTTCTGGGAAGGCTGTCCACGAGGTTTAGGAGTGTGTCTATGGGAATATTTGACCATTCTTCCAGAAGCACATTTGTGAGGTCAGGCACTGATGTCAGATGAGAAGGCCTGGCTCACAGTCTCTAGTCTCTGCGCTAATTCATCCCAATGGTGTTCTGTCAGGTTGAGGTCAGTTGTGCAAGCCAGTCAAGTTCCTCAACTCCAAACTCGCTCATCCATGTCTTTATGGACCTTGCTTTGTGCACTGGTGCGCAGTTATGTTGAAACAGGAAGGGGCCATCTCCAAACTGTTCCCACAAAGTTGGGAGCATGAAAGTCTTCAAAATGTCTTGGTATGCTGGCACCTTAAGAGTTCCCTTCATTGGAACTAAGGGGCTAAGCCCAACCCCTGAAAAACAACCCCACACCATAATCCCCCTCCACCAAACTTTACGCTTGGTACAATGCAGTCAGGAAAGTACCGTTCTTCTGGAAACCGCCAAACCCCGACTCATTTATCGGATTGCCATACAGAAAAGGGTGATTCCAGACAACACTGCTTCACTGCTCTAGAGTTGAATGGCAGCATGCTTTACACCACTGCATCCGACGCTTTGCTTTGCACTTGGTGATGTAAGGCTTGGATGCAGCTGCTCGGCCATGGAAACCCATTCCATAAAGCTCTCTATGCACTGTTGTTGTGCTTATCTGAAGACCAAACAAAGTTTGTAGTTCTTTACCTATTGACTCTGCAGACAGTAGGTGACTTCTGCGCACTGTGCGCTTCAGCATGTGCTGAGCCTTCTCTGTCATTTTACGTAGACTACCACTTCATGGCTGAGTTGCTGTTGTTCCCAGTTGCTTCCACTTTGTTATAATACCATGAACAGTTGACCATGGAATATTTAGTAGCAAGGAAATTTCATGGATGGACTTACTGCACAGGTGGCAACTTATCATGGTACCATGCTTGAATTCACTAAGCTCCTGAGAGCGACCCATTCTTTCAAAAATGTTTATAGAAGCAGTCTGCATGCCTAGGTGCTTGAAGTTATACACCTGTGGCCATGGAGGTGATTGGAACACCTGAATCCAATGATTTGAAGGGTTTTCCCAATACTTCTGGCAGTATAGTGCAGGCCTCGAAATTTCCATTCGCCTGCTAGCATTGGGGAGTGGAAATAAGGTGAGGGCGAGTGTGTCCCCCAGGGCCGTCTTGCTGAGCAGGCTCGGAACTCAGGCCGGCTCTGTCACTTGCACTGTGAGCCGTCAGACTGTTCAATAGTTGAGCAAAATGACAGCAAAGGCAGGAGTGTATGCTGTATCTACATGTGTCTGTGTGTATGTACATATGTCTGTGTGTATGTACGTGTATCTGTATGTGTCTGTGTGCATATACATATGTCTGTGTGTCTGTACATATGTCTGTGTGTAATGTATCTGTGTGTGTGTCTGTGTACATGTGTATGTATTTGTGGGTGGGTGTATCTGTATGTGTCTGTGCGTATGCATGTACATATGTCTGTGTATGTACATGTGTATGTGTCTGTGTATGTAAATGTCTCTGTGTGTATATATGTCTGTGTATGTACATGTGTCTGTGTGTATACATGTGTGTATGTACATGTGTGTGTGTATGTATATGTCTGTGTTGACGTGTCTCTGTTCGTGTGTGTGCATGTTTCTGTGTGAGTATGTACATGTCTCTGTGTGTATATGTGTCTGTGTGCATGTATATGTGTATATGTGTCTGTGTACATGTGTGTCTGTGTACATGTGTGTACATATGTAAACATACATGTATGGGTGGTTTGGACAGGTTCAGGATGATTATTATTATTTATTTATTTCAGATACTTATATAGCACCATCAATTTATGCAGTGCTTTACATATATGTTGTACAGTCACATCAGTCCCTAACCTTCAAGGGGCGTACAATCTAAGGTCCCTAACTCACATTCATACATACACATACTACGGCCAATTTAGACAGGAGCCAATTAATCTCCCAGCATGTCTTTGGAGTGTGGGAGGAAACTGGAGTACCCTGAGGAAACCCACGCAGGCACAGGGAGAACATGCAAACTCCAGACAGGTAGTGTCGTAGTTGGGATTTGATCCAACGACCCTAGTACTGCCAGGCAGAAGTGCTAACTATTTAGCCACTGTGCTGCCCATGATGTGGTTATTATGAAAGGTAGAGTATGGGGCATTTTAGGTACTGCTGGGTTGGATAAATGGTAGGATATACTTGGTAGAGTTATGGTTTGGTGAGTGAAAGGTTATGGGGGGTTATGGTTGTATGCGGTGCAAGTATGATGGAATGTTTAGGGGGACATTGAAGGCCCTGATGTAATGTGGGGGGACTCTGGGGACCCTGATGTAATGTGGGTAACATTTAACAGTGTCATTTCATGAGATAATTTACGAGGGCGTGTTTAGGGGCGGGGCAGGGTAGGGGTTGGGAGGGGCAACTGGTGGCAAGTAACTCTTAAGGCCTGGCTAGTAGCTTAGTATAGTATAGTAGCTTTAGTGTACATCTACAGTGATTTAATTCCTAACTTTCAAAGTGAAAATAATTTCTACACCAAAAGTGCAGTCTAAATTTTAATAGTACATACAGTTTGTCATTGGAAGTTTATTAAAGCTGCTTTATTCATGTCTATAATAACTGTCTCATAACCATTTTATGATTTTAAGATTGGTTATTTTAGGTCACTTAAGGAGATACTGCTGACCAGACATGTCAGATATCAGTTTTCAACATTGCTTGAGTTCATTTTGTAGTCAGTAGTTTAGTCCTAAGTTTGCCGGATTTGGAATACATTGACAGTCCTAAACACCAGCATTTCCTGAGCTGCTGCTGCATTTCTGTCACAAACAATATTCACCTTTCAGATGCCCCGTGGTGCCTGCGAGCCTTATCCCTCTTGAGGGCAATGACGCCAGAAGGAAGCAGGTTTCACATGTGGATAGCTGGTCAGAAATGATATCACTTCTGCATAGCAGATCCTGGGTGTAACAGGTGGAGGCAAGTGTGCAGTGTCGCCAATCAAAGACACAGGCCAAAAAGAATTAGAAAAACTGTTCTGTTGATTTGTGGATTTCTGAAAGTTATGGAAACTGTATGATGACTGCTTCTAAAACAAATGATATATAGAAAATAGATCAAAAACAACCTCTAATGCCAAGTTACAGCATAATGAACGTTACTTATAGCTAAACGTTACCTCCGCTTCAAATTGAATTTTCTGTTGCATGATGGAAAAAATATTTACCTAAATAATATTTATTTCAAACATTATGTTTGATTATTGAAGTTGATATTGAAGTAGTTTGCTTGACAGAGAAATGTTCAAATGTTGTCATAGATACATTACATTTCTGTACATTAATTCTGATCAGTTGTGTACATTCGCCCAGAGCAAAAAGAAAAAGTATTCATGAACTCATCAGCTGCTATAAAAGCAATACAGAATTTGTAGAATAAGATAAGTTGTAAATAGTGTTTACAAACCTTATGAATTTGCTGCCCTGCATTACAAAATGAAACATCCAAGATCCAACTTGTCTTAGATGTGTAAGATGTTAAACCCCCTACTGATATTTTGCAGATCTGGTTAGTAAATTACAGAGAAAGACTGTGACTTAAAGTGGTTGTAAAGGCTCAAGGTTTTTTACCTTCATGCATGCTATGGTATTCTACCTTCTCTGTGCAGCATCCCCCTCAGCCCCCCCCCCCCCCTAATATTCACATAAGCCCCCTCTGTACACCGCAATCTTGGTTATCCCGCGACTCCCTCTTCATTGGCTAAGACAGCAGCTGGAGCCGTTGGCTCCCACTGCTGTCGATCACAGCCAGTGAGCCAATGAGAAGAGAGAAGGGGCAGGGTCCGAGCCGCGTGTTCATGTGTGAATGGATACACAGAGCAGCGCATGCTCAGGTGCCCCCATAGCAAGCTGCTTGCTGTGTGGGTACCCGACAGGAGGGAGAAACCAGGAGCAACGGCGGGGGAACCAAGAAGAGGAGGATCCAAGCTGCTCTGTGCAGAACTACTGCAAACTGCAGGTAAGTATAACATGTTTGTTTTTTGTTTTGTTTTTTTAAATGTAAGCCTTTAGAATCACTTTAAGCTGACTATACACTAATAAAATTTCAAGCAAACATTTGTACAAAAATTCTCAGTATATTTGATGACTTGACCAATGTTGTTTGAAAATACTTAAGCATTTTGTTTTCTTTTAACATTCAATTTTGGATGGAATGTAAATTTCCAATTAAAGACCACTTTCAAGCCAGCCATAGACAGATCAAAATTCATCCAGTTTAAAAGGAACCAGCCAAATTTTAATCCATCTGTGAGTAGGCTGGTTGAACTGAAGTTGATCTACTGATAGACTTCAGTACAACCAGTCTGTTGAGTTTTTTGTCTCATGTGATCACTGCGGCTGGCTATATCCGGCAGTAGCGATCATTGTATTCTGGCGGTGGTGAAACCTACACTAGCACAACAGGATGGATTGCTCCATCAGCACTGACTGTGTTGATGGGGGGATTGAGCGATTTTCTTTCCTTCAGCCCATGGTGGAAGAAAATAAAAATGCATAATGTATGGGCAGCCTCAAAAGTTAGAAGTTTGTTTATTCTAGAAAAATTTTCCATTTTGCACCTTCAAATTTTTTCATGACAATGGTGAAAAACAAATGTCAATTTAAGCAAACTAATAATTGGAAAATCAAGCTAAAATGAAAAATTTGGAAAAAAATTCTACTGTATGGCCAGACTCACACAAGAAGGCTGTTCAATGACTTACCAGGGAGAGCTGTTTAACCGCTTGCGTGCCACCCTATAGCAGAAATACTGCTACAGGGCGGAACGGGTGTGCAAAATCACGTATATATACGTTGCCATTTGCAGCCTCAGCAGTCGATCACCAAGTCCCGCCCGGTGATTTCTCTCCGGCACCCGGTGGTTGCCGAGTATCTCCAATGGGGGGAGAGACCTGTGTATAAACAACACAGATCTCTCCCGTCAGCTCCTGCACACTGCTAAGCCATAGAAAGCAGTGTGCTTACAGTGAAGCACACACACAGCCCCCATAGTGAAACAGCACACAGTTAACCCTTTAATCACCCCACATGTTAACCCCTTCCTGTCCAGTGCCATTTATACAGTGTCAGTGCTTTTTATTAGCACTGATCACTGTATTGGTGTCACTGGGGATGGCAGTGACACCAAGTCAGTTCCCCCCAGTGTCAGAATGACTGCTGCAGGGCCACTAGAAGTCGTTGATCGCCGCTATTACTAGTAAAAAAAAAAACAGCCTGCCTCCGTAGAGATGTACACTGGGGGGCAAACCTAAAAAACCTGAACTTTGGGAGAATAGGCACACCACATCCTGCAGTGCAGTGTTCAGTGCCAGGATGAGCTTTCAGCAAACCCAAGCAATACAGCATCAGAGGTAGTGTTGTCATACTTGTGTCAGTGTTGATTTTCAGAATGTTGGTATTTTCATACAAAATTTTAAGTGATCCACTAATGCTAAGGTTAGGTAGGATGGCACAGTACAGATAAAAAGAGAGGACCTTTTGATGTCTGCTATCCAACACCACCCTTAATTTATACAATATATTATGTATCGACAATACAGGGTTTTTAAGTTTGCAGATGATCTGAATTGTAAGCAGTAAGTTTGGATTATGGAAAGGAGATTTTTCATTTTTTGGATGTAAACATTTCCTTGCAGAAAGGAAATATTGTCATAGAATTGTAAAAAATGGAAAAACAGGAATCAATTCTGCTTGCTTCAAGTTGCCATCCGGAACCTTTAATCAGAGGATTACCGAAGAGGCAATACATATGTGCAAGACACATTACTTTCTCTGATGCACTGTATTAAAAATGGGCCAATTCCCTTACAGAAAATGTATAAAAAGAGGATATATTTGTAAGCAATGCATGGAAATTGTATAGGAGATATGAAGATCGGACTGAGGTGCAGAAGTATAAAGCTTGAAATTCTGTTAAGTAGAATAAGCTGGTTTTTTATCTGTACCTCTGATAATCAATCACATTTTGCAAGAACTGTGATTAAAAGACATGTTGAATGCTCTTCCTTCTTTCTAAAATTTTTCTTAACACTTATAAATTTGTTTTTAGGAAAGAGAAAGAATTAAATGATTGCCTAATCAAAAGTCATATTAGTCACACGTAAGGGGAGAATGGCTTACATCTCCCTTTGTCAATGGTACCTCAGTGTCATGCTTGTGAAAATTGTCCTGAGATTATTAAAGTAGAATATGTTAAGACTAATATTCTTGTCAAAGTAAACCTGGTCAGTTCTAACTAGTCGAATTATGAAAACATACATAAAGCAGAGGTTACTTAAAGTAAAAATGACAAATCAACTCAACCTGTGGATGTGGAGATATAGGAAGCTGAACTATATAAATATCAACACTTCCTGTAAGTTTTAAACTTGACTAGGCTGTTTACCTTATTAGGGAATTTGCCCTTAGCTTAGTAAATGTGGTGAAAATACCCTTAGAAGGGAGTGAGCTGGGAGAGCTTCTGTATCATTGGATCGAGGTCAGACTCAGGTAAGTATTGGGTGCAAAGAATATACAATCCTGTTCAAGAAAAAAATCAAAAGCTTTACCTTGTTCACTAAGTTAAGGGAAATTTCTTTGCAAAAAGCTTTAGTGACTTTAGTTAACAAACCCTATGGGTCACTAAAGCCACCCCTCATAAAAAAGAACCAATAGGGAGGCCCAAGTATTCACTGAAAATGACACGTGCTTAAAGGATAAGTTCACCTTTTGAACATGTTACATGTTCCATCTATATTTAGGGACGGACATGTAACACGTTCTAGCTCCTGCCTCCTCTACCCCCCCATCCCCCTTCCCTGTGACAGCGGGCAGGGGATCCTCTCCCTGCACTTGCTGTCAGAATTTAGCACAGTTGTGCGAGGCTCTACCCACATGGCTATGTCATTCATTCACAGAGTTCTTTGAATTAATGAAATAAAAGTACTGTGGCCGACTTCTTGTAGGTCTCAATGAACTATGAGGGCACTGGTGAACACTCTCGTAGTTAATTAATTATTTCTGCAATGCAGTAACTGTCTGCCTGCACAAAGTACAAGCAGACAGCTGTTCTGAGAACCTGCAGTATCCTTGCATTGCACCCACAATCTGCTGAGCGAGGACAGACCTGGTGACTGTTGTCCAGGAGCGCGCGTCTGTCCTCACTCTTCCCTCCGCTTGCAGCCTGGATCCCTCACTTCCGGTCCTCTGATGGATGGTTAGCAGTAAGCTGGCCTGTGCTGTGCCCCGGGGTTGCTGGCCGTGCAGCAGAATTAGCCCAAAAGAAGTTGAGAGGTGTTGCATTCCATTGATGATCCAGAGGGAAGTCCTTACCAGGATAGAGAAGTCCATAAGAGGATCCAGCTGACCCACTGAGATGTGATATTTTCTCAAATGCATGATGGAATTATGCATCTGGTGAGTGTGTAATTCTAATATTTGATCACCAGAAGATGCACAGTGGATCACTTGTTTAGAAGCTTCACATCCTTTGAATATTATATAGACTTTGTCACTTTAGCACCATCAGTCACTATTTTGAATGTGCGTTTGCACTGCTGTCACTTTATTTTCCTGCAATTGGGAATATACATTTGCAATATTGTCTTTTTTTTACATACCTTTGATGAAAGATTTACCTCTTAGGTTGTTTACATTTGCACTTTATATTGATAATAATCATATTTATTGTATTGATGTTTTAGCGCTGCACCTTATTATTCAATAGTTGGTCTTAGGAGGTTGTTGGTACCTTTTGGTGTACAGCAGCTCATTTTTAGCGCTCACGTTTATGCATGTTTACTATTGTCTATGGGAATGTTTGACTGTTCTTCCAGAAGCGCATTTGTGAGGTCAGGCACTGATGTCGGACAAGAAGGCCTGGCTTGCAGTTTCCAATCTAAATAATCCCAAAGGTGTTCTATCAGGTTGAGGTCAGGACTCTGTGCAGGGCAGTCAACTTCCTCCACCCCAAACTCGCTGATCCATGTTTGTATGGACCTTGCTTTGTGCACTGGTGCACAGTCATATTGGAACAGGAAGGGGTCATCCCCAAACTGTTCCCACAAAGTTGGGAGCATGAAATTGTCCAAAATGTCTTGGTATGCTGACACCTTAAGAGTTCCCTTCACTGGAACTAAGGGGCCAAGCCCAACCCCTGAAAAACAACCCACACCATAATCCCCCCTTCCACCAATTTACACTTGGCACAATGCAGTCAGGCATGTACCATTCTCCTGGCAACCGCCAAACCCAGACACATCCATTGGATTGCTTAACAGAGAAGCATGATTTGTCACTCCATAGAACACTTCTCCTCTGTTCTAGAGTCCATTGGTGGCATGCCTTACACCACTACATCTGACGCTTTGTGATGTGATGGCTTCATGATGTAAGGCTTGGATGCAGCTGCATGGCCATGGAAACCCATTCCATTAAGCTCTCTATGCACTGTTGTTGTGCTAATCTGGAGGCCACACAAAGTTTTGAGGTCTTTAGCTATTGACTCTGCAGACAGTAGGTGACTTCTGCCCATGGGGTGAGATCTTGCGTGGAGCCCCAGATCAAGAAAGATTATCAGTGGTCTTGTATGTCTTCCATTTTCTAATTATTGCTCCCAGAGTTGATTTGTTCACACCAAGCTGCTTGCCTATTGCAGATTCAGTCTTCCCAGCCTGGTGCAGGTCTACAATTTTGTTTCTGGTGTCCTTCGATAGCTCTTTGGTCTTCACCATAGTGGAGTTTGGAGTGTGACTGTTTGAGGTTGTGGACAGGTGTCTTTTATACTAACAAGTTCAAACAGGTGCCATTGATACAGGTAATGAGTGCAGGACAGAGGAGCCTCTTAAAGAAGAAGGTACAGGTCTGTGAGAGCCAGAAAATCTTGCTTGTTTGTAGGTGACCAAATACTTATTTTCCACCATAATTTGCAAATAAATTCTTTCCAAATCAGCCAATGTGATTGTCTGGATTTTTTTTCTCATTTTGTCTCTCATAGTTGAGGTCTACTTATGATGCCAATTACAGGCCTCTCTCATCTTTTTAAGTGGGAGAACTTGCACAATTGGTGGCTGATTAAATACTTATTTGCCCCACTGTATATATATATATATATATATATATATATTTCGGTATTCAAGATGGTTTATGATATATCGTTTATTGAAAAGAGCGAAGGTGCATATTTATTTGATGATATTGAAATGTGCCACACTGTATATATTTACCGTATTTTCCGGCGTATAAGACGACTTTTTGACCCTTGAAAATCTTCTCAAAAGTCGGGGGTCGTCTTATACGCCGGTATACGGCATGCTGACACTTTTTAGGGGGGCGGTGCGGTGCCGCCGCCGCCCCCCCCCCTTCCAACAGAAGTGAAACTAAGTACAGGGGTGGGCAGGGGCTTCTGTTTCTTAAATGGCTCCGGTCCCACGACGATCCGGTCCAGGAAGCGCAGCTGCTCCTTCCTTCAGTTCGGCCACTGGATATTCGTGCGGCTGCTCGGCTCCGCCTCCTCACCGGTGATTGGCCGCCAGAACTGTAGCTCAGGAAAGGCACACAGGCGGCCAATCACCGGGGAGGAGGCGGAGCCGAGCGGCCCCCGCGAAAATCAAGTGAAGGTAAGTGTGCCGTGCACAGGTGCTGCTGCAACCATATATGCTTGCTGCAGCAGCACCATACTGAACAGGGGTCAGCAAGTGTCAGTGGGAGGAATAGTGCCCCATCATTGGTGTCACTGATACCAATGATGGGGCATTATTCCTCCCACTGACACCGACGATGGGGCACTTTTCCTCCCCCCCCACTGACACCGACGATGGGGCACTTTTTCCTCCCCCCCACTGACCAACGATGGGTCACTATCCCCCCCCCCCACTGACACCAATGATGGGGCACTATTCCACCCCCCACTGACACCACTGATGGGACACTATTCCTCCCACTGACACCAATGATGGGACACTATTCCTCCCACTGACACCAATGATGGGGCACTATTCCTCCCACTGACGCCAATGATGGGGTGCTATTCCTCCCACTGACACCAATGATGGGGTGCTATTCCTCCCACTGACACCAATGATGGGACACTATTGCTCCCACTGACACCAATGATGGGGTGCTATTCCTCCCACTGACACCAATGATGGGGTGCTATTCCTCCCACTGACACCAATGATGGGACACTATTCCTCACACTGACACCAATGATGGGCACTATTCCTCCCACTGACGCCAATGATGGGGTGCTATTCCTCCCACTGACACCAATGATGGGGTGCTATTCCTCCCACTGACACCAATGATGGGACACTATTCCTCCCACTGACACCAATGATGGGGTGCTATTCCTCCCACTGACACCAATGATGGGGTGCTATTCCTCCCACTGACACCAATGATGGGGTGCTATTCCTGCCACTGACACCAATGACTGGGCACTATTCCTCCCACTGATACCAATGATGGGGCACGATTCTTCCCACTGGTGTGCATTGGAAGAGGGGTAGTCTTATACGGCGAGTATAGCCCAAACACTACATTTTAACAGGAAAAGTAGGGGGGTCGTCTTATACGCCCAGTCGTCTTATACGCCGGAAAATACGGTAGTTGTTCCCAGTTGCTTCCACTTTTGTATAATACCACTAACAGCTAACCGTGGAATATTTAGTAGCAAGGAAATTTCAAGGATGGACTTATTGCACAAGTGGCAACCTATCACAGTACAACCCTTGAATTCACTGAGCTCCTGAAAGCGACCCATCCTTTCACAAATGTTTGTAGAAGCAGACTGCATGCCTAGGTGCTTGATTTTACACATCTGTGGCCATGGAGGTGATTGGAACAACTGAATCCAATGATTTGGAGAGGTGTCCCCAATACTTTTGGCAATATAGTGTATGTTACATAGTTACATAGTTAGTCTGGCTGAAAAAAGACAAAAGTCCATCCAGTTCAATGATTAAAAAAAAAAAAAAGTTAGAATCCTGCACCTACAGTTGATCCAGAGGAAGGCAAAAAAAACCCAGCAAAGCATGATCCAATTTGCTCCTGCAGGGAAAAAATTCCTTCTTGATCCCCTGAGAGGCAATCGGATATCCCCTGGATCAACTTTACCTATAAATGTTAGTAACCAGTTATATTCTGTGTATCCAGGAAAGAATTCAGGACTTTTGGTTGGATTTCCTCACAGCACCACTTTGTGACTTTTAATAAATTGGATTTTTAAATTGTTACTAAACCCACAATAAAATCAGTCTGTATATGCAGTAAAGCATGCTTGTTATACTCACTGTGGAACCTATTGTGTAAATAGGCCATTTGTTCCTGATTGCTCTGTTCCTTCCCTTGTTTAAATGACCACCGCTTATCTCCTGATAAGACAGACTGAACGGTAGGCATTTTGTACATTCTCAGTTTGGTGTGTATTGCTAGAGAGGTTTTTCTTTTTTCTAGGGAGAGTGCATGTGATCAGCACAGGGCCAATAAGAACTGTCCAGACAGAGGTCAGGGGTTTTGCATCCTCCTAGAGCAGAAAGAAAGCTCCTCCTACAAGCTTTAGCTAGTGCTTGGCTGGACACTGATACAAGTTACAAGACTGCTCTAACTGCTGATGAGAAAAGGTATTTAGCAGTTTATATTTACTAAAATAATTGCACTCCCATGTTCTGTATACTGTGGGAGACCAGATATAGTGAATGCAGGTTCCCTGGATTTAGTAACACTTTAACCACCTTCCGCCCGCCCTATAGTACAATGACGGGCGCAAGGTGGTTCTCTCGTTCTGATATATGACGTCCTACCATTCTTACTGCGCATGCGCGGCTCAGGGAGCGTGCAGCGCGGCGATCGCCGCGATCCCTCGGACACAGCGGATCACGGAAAGAGCCAAAGATGTCAGCTCGGTCATGTGATCAGCTGTGTCCAATCACAGCTGATCACATGTAAACACGGAAATGCCGGATTTTCATCCGAAATGTGAGGATTTTCGTTGCTGCTATGGGCCTTCTTGAACTTAACACATTATCTTTGCACCTTTTTTCTTTCCACAAAGAATAAACCTAAACATGGTTGTAGAATATATAACAAAAAAGTGACATAAATCACTTGTTCATTTACACAAATCAAAATATTTGCATTTCACCTGTGTGGAAACGCAAGAATGTTTAAAATTAGCCTGTAAATATATTTTGAAATAAAAAAAAACTCTACATAAATATATTTCATGAACTTCTTTATCAAATGTACATTAACTTTGATTACTTGTTTTTTTTTCTTAATGTAGTTCTGTCTGGGAATTCTACAAAAAATAATGCACATTTTTTTACAGGTTAAAAAATTTACATTATTATTTTTTTAAAGAGTAGCCTGCAAAGTATTGCACCCGCGATCAGCAGATTGGGAGGCACATATGCAAACTGTTGTAATTCCTACACCGTTCACCTGATTTGGAAGTAAATACCCTCAAATTAAAGCTGACAGTCTGCAGTTAAAGCACACCTTGTTCGTTTCATTTCAAATCCATTGTGGTGGTATATAGAGCCAAAAATGTTAGAATTGTGTCGATGTCCCAATATTTATGGACCTGACTGTATATTCTGATTATTCAGTTCTTAGATCAGTTATGTCAGTGGAAACTTACCTAAGAGAAAAAAATTGGTTATTGTTCAAGGGACCCCTAGGCTTGTATTGTGGATATCTCCAGAGTGTTATCTCCTTACTCCTACATAGGGAGAATTATACACATTCATATACAGTAGGTCTTATAAAATTATCCTCATATCCAAGATTGCTTGGCAGCTAGATCATGTATAGATGACTGGCCACCATCTAAAGTAGTGTTTCTCAACCAGGGTTCCTTGCGCAACTACCAGTTGCCTCTCACATAAGTTCCCACTGGCACCATTGATCTTTTTAGCTATCTGTAAGGAGGAAATTCTTCCCAATGACCACAAATGTAAAGAGCTCGCTTCCCACTGACTATCAAACTAATGTATCATGAGTTGTAGATATAGTAATTTTTATTTCAATGGTTCCTCTGTGTAGAAAAATGTGTAAAATGAAGGCTGCAGCTCTACAACAGAGAAAAGGTGGGAGACACAGGCCACAAAAGATGTGAATACAAGTGTTCTTGTGTTTTTGTAAACCTGACAGGGTCACTTGAAGCCTAAATACTTTGTTAGGATTATCATGTATATATGTATCAATTTTTCTTTTTATTGTTTATACTTTTTTCATATTTTCAAATTCTTTTTCCAATGTATCCATGCCACTTTTTTTTCTTTTGGCATCATACTGAAATTCAAACTGAATTCCATTAAATTTGCATTCTTCAAAGAGGTACTCTGAGCTAATTAAATTAAGTAGATCATGCTGAAATGAATGCCAATTAGTGTCAGTGATAATTCTTTTCAGCGCCATAGCAAGAATGCAGTCACTCTAACAGTAAATATTATATCGTAATAATGCCACAATGCGTATGCCACAGTAAGAATGCAATAAATTAAGAAATATAGAGACTTTGATTCCATAGTGAAAATAGTATAGGGAACAAGTGTTTTATGCCATGTTAAGTTTCAAAGATCCACTATGAGTAGCCAACAACCAGAAACCCTATTTTAACTACTTTAAAAAGTGTGTTCATTAAAAGTTCATTAATTGTACAGTGTGTTCTGATGTAGATATCAAAGTTGTCTATGAAAGTTGATAATTGTGTTGATTTAATTGCTTTTGTGACACCTATTAGGGATGATTTACTAAAGGCAAATAGACTATGCTCTGTGCAAGTGCAGTTGCACTCACTTTTGCCAGAGCTTAGAGAATGTGATGAAGCTCTGCTGATTTCCATCATCCAACCATGTGCCAGTACAAATTATGTTTTTTTTATTTCTCCTGACTAGATATTATTTACAAAGTCAAGCTTCACTACATTTACTAAACTCTGGGGAAAATGAGTGCAACTGCACTTGTAAAGTGCACAATCTACTTGCCTTTAATAAATCATCCCCACTGTCTCCTATTATGTTTTCTTTTGTGTGTTTTTTTTTTTTGAAGAGACTAGTAACCACAATGCTTTATTTATGTATCTAAATATTTAGCCTTAAATTATTATTTAATATATAATTGTGTAGGCTTACATATAAAAAATATATTTATACATAGCCCTTTTCTAGATTTGCTTAATTTGTCTTGAAGATGACATTAGGAGCTTGAAATCATAGCATGATTGTCGCCTGAGTATTGGAAGTTTTTGCTCTGTCAACTACATGAGCACACACTGGAGGATTTACTAAAACTGGAACATGCAAAATCTGGTGCAGGCTTGCATAGAAACCAATCAGCTTTCAGGTTTTATTCTCAAAGCTTAGCTGAACAAGCTGAAGTTAAAAGCTGATTGGCTACCATGCACAGCTGATTCGGAATGCTCCAGTTTTAGTAAATCTCCCCCACTTCCTTCCAATTTCAAGGTATTCAGAACATTATCAAACCAGTGTCCTATATTTGTCTACATTCATTTTAACTACAGGCCCCTCTTGTTTAGCACTGTTAAGCAGTAGATGGTATGGATCAGCCACAACCACACATCTGAATACCTCTCACCTATATATCATCAATAAATAATGTTGGCACTCAATCCCTGTCCTAGTATACTCTTTTGGAGTCCTTTCCAAGTCAGGGTGATTGCATCCAACACTTCACTCACAGCCCACCTATTTACACTACAGATCACTATGTACCTGATTGATAAAGTGAACCATAATGGTGCATAGTGAGTGTATGGGATAAGAGATTTGCAGTGTAAATAGGTGGACTGTGAGTAAAGTTTTGGACAACTTTGTACATAATCAACCCAACTTTGGGAGGAATCCAAAAGTATACATTCGGACAGGGGTTAAGAGCCAGCATTATTTAATGATGGTAATAAGACTTATTTTTAGTTCATTGTGGGGCTAGTCTAAACAGGGCTGCACATATAGCCTGGAAAGGTGATATTCTAAAATCTACAGAAAAGTTTGACTTCTCACCTCTAAGTCGTTAGGAGTCTACTTCAGATTCACCAAATAAGGGAGCAGAATTAAATCTTTCATTGGTAAGCGTAAACAATTATTAAAATCTAAGTCTGGTTACTTAGGTTTGTGCATAAGGCAACTCATGACTAGTTCTCTTTAAGGTGCTGTTATATGGGAAATGTTTGTTAGAAGATCAAGCTGCCAAGTAGGCACTCATTAGGCCTACTATGGCATAAACATGCACACCTATACCTGAAAACCATGGCCGGATCAGATTTCAGCTGATTTAAAAGCAGTGACCCCTGTCCTCTTCCCTGCCAGCAGTGACCCCGGTCCTTTGCCTTGCCAGCAGTCACCCCTGCCCTCTGCCTTGCAAACAATTACCTCTATCCTCTTCGCTGCCATAAGTGACTCCTGTCCTTTGATTTGCTAGCAGTGACTCCTGTCCACTTCCCTGCTAACCCCTTTTCTCCACCCTGCTGAAACCTGTTCTCAGCTCTGCTGATCCTTATCCTCAGCTCTGCTGACTCCTGTACACTGCTCTGCTGACCCGTCTCCTCTGCCCTGTGGACCCCTGTACACAGCCGTACAAACTAATGGCCCCTGTACATTGCCTTACAAACTGCTTACCCTAATATCTGCCCTGCTGACCCCCCTGTGCACTTCCCAGTTGATCTCCCATCCTTTGCCCCCCCCCTAACATTTTTTACTGCACCCCCACACATCAGACAAGCTAGATCTGGTCCTGCTGGAAACTGGCATATGTCATTGGGCATTTTGGCACAAACTCATATCTTATGGAAGGGCTCTCTAACTCAATCAATCAGTTCTTTCCTGGAGATGGTTTAAAAAGGAGCGACCGCGGAGGTCACAGAAAGCCATAGATATACAACAGTTTCTAGATGCT